GCCAAATGGCTTAGTTCTGCATATCCCAAAATAAAGCACTATTTTGACTTATGGCATGTGGCTAGAACCATCAATAAAACTCTACTCAAAGCCAGCAAAGAAAAAGGATGTTCTGCTCTTAAGGAATGGATGGCCTCCATACGCAACCACTTATACTGGTGCGTTACATCCACAGAAGAAGGATTTGGGGAACTTATTGTAGCTAAATGGCTTTCCATTACAAGGCACATTGCAAATAAACACAGAAACCACCCTAATAAGCTTTTTACAAAGTGTACACATGAAAACTTGCAAAAGAGAAAATGGATCTTAAATGGTAAAATATGAATTCAGCTGTCATTGAAATGCTGGATATATCTATTCTTTATGCATTGTTTAATAAGAAAAATTAGCCAATAACTGGGAAGTCAATATATCAAACATGAGCATTATGTTTCATCATTGTATCACCAAGCTGAGGTCGAGTTTTTTTGGTATAATAGTAGTGATATATACTTGTGTAAGTACATCATTTTATTTAGAGCTGGAGTATATGTTTGATCAGTTTATCAAGACACAGTCATGGTAATTCTGTCTAAATATGAATCTGAAAAAATAATRATAAAACTAAGTTTTTACTCTTATAAACCAGGAACATATGCTCATGAAAGGCTATGTAAAATTATACAAAGAACGGGTCTTGTCAATGATATTCGTCGTCTATCTAAAGAAGATCAGACTAGTGCATTGGAGGGATTTCATTCAACGCTAAATCAGTGGCACCCAAAAATGCTAAGTTTTTCCTGGCTTGGAACATACTGCAGGTACAATTTCCCTGCTAATATACTWACAAAAATATATAAAAATTTGAACATTGCAATCATACATATTACACACTTGCTTATTTCAGACATATTTTGGCATCACTTCACTTCAACGAAAACTTCAAAAGAGAGACAGTAACAAACAGTACAGGCCAAAAAGTGTACAGAGTCATATATCCCAAGTTTAAGTTTGGGGAAGAAATTGTCCGTGAAGTTGCTATTCCTCCTACCTATCGTGAGTAAAGTACTTGTTTGAATGTAAAAAATAAAAATCTTTATAATAAGATAATATATGTTTCCAACACCGATTTTTATTAATTACATAACTTGTATTGTTTTTGTGTGTGTGTGTTGTTTCAGATTATGTAGATGAAATCAGAAACACCATGTTTAACTTGACTGTTGACAGTCTGGCAGAAACAGCTAAAAAATACAAGAAACTCTGTCCCAAACCCCTTACACATATGTTCCCTGACAGGTTACCTAAAKATGAGGCTATTCTACAKSAAAAAAGCAAATCAAACCTATACAAGACAAAGCTTGAGCCAAGTGGTATGAATCAAGAATATGAATTTAGATAAATCCAGTATTATAACAAGTAGCTGTTATCATTGTGATTGCCCATCTAAATAAGCTGTTGAAG